ACCGAATACCAAACAACAGAAAACAAGGATATGAGAAACCTAGAGATAGACGAGGGAAGAAAAGTAAATGGAACAGATAAATTCAAGTATTTAGGAACAATAATATCGAACCAGGGAACAACAGAAGAAGATATAAACAACAGATTAAGACAAACAAGAAACTGTATAAGACAACTAAATTCAGTGCTGTGGGATAAGAACATTACGATAAAGACAAAAAAGAGAATATATAATACCCTGACAAGAAGTATCCTGACATATGGGTCCGAAAACTGGACAATAAACAAGAGAAATAGAGGTAGAATAAGAGCAGTAGAAATGGAGTTCTTGAGGAGAAGCTGTAGACTTACAAAAAGAGACAGAATTGAAAACGTAGAGATTAAGCGGAGAATGGGAGTGCAATCAGACATAATCGACTATATAGAGGAGAAGAGACTATCCTGGTACGGCCACGTCAGCAGAGCGGACAGAGGACGCTGGATAAACAAAATCACAGAATGGAGCCAGATCGAAAGAAGAAAGAGAGGAAGACCCCGAAGGTCATTCAGAGACGAAATCGACGAGGCTATAAAGGAAAGACCCCTGCGAGATGGAGACTGGAATGACAGGGAAAATTGGAAAAAACGGTTGAGTAAAGGAAGACAGTGAAAACTGTGGAAATCCTTAATAGTAGTATAATAATATTAGAAAAATTAACCATCAAACCAAAAGTTCACCAAAAGATACTTCTTCTTCTTCGGGTGCCTGTCCGTTCCGAACGTTGGTGATCATTCTAGCTATGATAATTTTGTTGGGTGCTATACGAAATAGCTGTGTTGAGGTCTTTCTATACCATCCTCTCAGGTTAGCAAGCCAGGATATTCTTCTTCGTCCTGGGGCTCTTTTTCCTTCAATTTTACCCTGCAAAATACATTGGAGTAGCTCGTATCTGCCTTGATTTCTCATTATATGTCCCAAGTACTCCAGCTTACGGCTCTGCACAATGTTGACCAAATCCGCGGTTGTGTTCATCCTCCGCACCAAAAGATACAGTCGGACTTAAAACCTAAAAAGTCTTTGGGAAACGATCTGATTACTGATAAAATACTCAAAGAACTCTCCAAAAAAAGGAATTATATCTTATTTCATGAAACGTGGTACAACTCATTGCAATACCTAAGCTAGGGAAAACAACAGAAGATATTAAAATTCATATAAACCTATAAGTCTACTAACCTACCAACGATTCCAATGATAGTCAAAGATTTTTGAAAAACTACTGCTGGATTTTTTACTACCAATTCTAAACTCACCAACCAATCCCTAATCAGATCACTTAACACAAGGGATCAAGAAATAACCCAAGTGCTGAAAGAGAAAGAAATAAACATTTGTGCTATACAGGAAACAAAAAAGAAAAAAAAAGTTATCAAAATTAGGTGAATTAATACCAATCTACAGTGGAGTAGCAAAAGAAAACAGGGCCGAAGAAGGTGTAGCCTTACTAATAAATCAAAGACACCAAAATCACATCAAATAGTGTCAATACATATCAGAAAGAAAAGTAACAGCAAAGATAAGAATAACGAAAAAAGAACTGAACATGATCGTAGTATACGGCCCAGAAAATAACAAGTCTTAAACAACAAGGGAAGCTTTTTACGACCAATTACAACAAGTAGTAGATCAAGTCAGAGGAAAAATGATAATATTGGGGAGTTTTAACGATCAAATAGGCAACCAAGTAATACATGGCATTAAACAGAAACATAACGAGAATTCCACGAGGAAACTAAGTTCCTGTAGCTGGCTGTATACCATATATCACAAAAAATTTGTTAAAATCCTTTATAAAAGGTATATAAAATTGCCTCAAACGGGCTATCACAAACACATTGCAAAACGTTTTCGGATTAAACAATCCATCATCAGAGCAAACCTGAAAGTATATAACCACTTTAATTAAAAAGAACGTTAAATGAAAATGTTGACAAAGGTTAGAGCAAAATGTGGTTAATACTTACGGTTGTACATGCTAGTAGCCACCAAAATATGTGGGTAAAAACCCTTTAAATGTTATAAATTTGAAATTGTTTTACATTATTAGTGTTTCTAATTTGTGATGGTTAAGTTACCGTTGGATAGGTAACATGGCGGCGTATGACTCTACATGAGTAAAATGGTCCTGAGACGAAGTGCCTACGAGGACCTGTTGATAACAACTGATTATAATGACATTGTTGACAAGTTAGGACGGATGTTGTGTCAGAGCAGTCAGTGTAACTTACGGTAGTTGTCTAAAATTGACAGATTTCAGCCTTATTTAAAATTAAAAAAGTTAAAATTATAATAATGTAACAGCATCAACCATCAATATTGTAATCTGTATTGTAAATTAATCAGATAGGTGTATTTGTAACATTGAAAATTGGTTTTTTAAAAATTAATGTAGGTCAACTAGAATTTATGAAATTTTGTGGGATTGATAGGCAACCAACTATACATGTGTAAGGATATATTTATTTTAAGCTAGAGATTTTGTCAAAAGGCCCTGTATGTTGCGAGACATTTGGTATCTAGAAAGTGGTAAAAAGACACATGTGGGAAGATGGGTCCTAAAAGATATATTATTGAGTATTGATGTAATAGGTGGAAGTGTGTTTAGATCTGTTATTGAGCTGAAATGTAAATATGACAAGAATGTGATCATAATATGGTGTTCATGTAGTATACAACCACTATAACGAGAATGTTAAGAACGAAATGGAGAACTGATGATCAACTTCTGCACGAATAACGAACTGAGAATAAACAATACATTTTTTGACCACAAAGACCATCACAAATATACATTTATTAACACCCGTGGACAAAGATCTATGATAGATAATGTTATAACCAACGGAGATATACATCCATCAAAAATTAGTATTATGTAAAATGAGAATGATCCTAAAATACTTCCCACATAAACGAGCGGCGCAAACACAAACAAAAATCAAAGTCGAAAGACTAAATACGGAATTCACGGAATACTTACACAGGAAAACAATTTCAGAGAAGACCACTGGAAATAAAATATTAGAAAACGATAACTACGAGGAAAGCTGGGAAAAACTCAAAAATAACATAATTAACACAGAACCAAAATCAGTTGGAGAGGGAAAAGTAACGAACTCTAACATATCAAAAAAGAAAACACCATGGTTTAAAGAAGAAGTGAAGACAAAATATGAAGAAAAGAAGAAAGCCTTTTTACAATACAGAGCACAACAAACAAAACAGGCATACAACCACTATAAACGAATCAAAAAAAGGCGAAAGACAACACATATGGGGCACATACTTAGAAATGATAAGTACGAATTGTGGCAGCTGATTATGAAGGGTAAAATCGAAGGAAAAAGAGGTCCTGGTAAACGACAAATATCCTGGCTGAAAAACATTCGTGACTGGACCAGGTTAAACACACAGATGCTCTTAAGAAAAGCGGACGATAGAGACGAATTTGCAATGGTTATCGCCAACCTTCATTTAAGTAATAGCCGGCAAGAGCCAACAAGAGCTGCACAACTAGCACATGCCCGTCCCATACTTCCTTCTGCTGGTGGCAATGTTATGTTTTGGGCAGGTATTATGAAAGATGGACACACAAAATTGTTGCTTATTGACAGGACTCTTAAAGAACAAAGGTACTTCACACGGATTTTAAAATCTCAGGTCAGATTATGGCAAGAAGCTGTGGTTAAATATTTTGTATTTATGGATGATCACGCCGCCCACATTAAACTCAAGTGGTAAAAGATTATCTTGAGACAGAATGTATTCCTCGTTTGAAGTGGCCTGCGAAGTTTCCAGACATAAACCCCATTGAACATGCATGAAATGTGCTCTCCAGAGCTGTTTATGCCCCCCGAAGGACTTCTCCTAGAACTCATCATGAACTTACCAATTGTCTCTACAGCAGATTGCCAGAATCTACCATACAAAATTATTAATCGCCTTTTTAGCAGTATTAGAGCTCGAATTTAGACTTGCATCGGTGCCCCTAATGGAAATACAAGGTAATACAATTTTTAAATACATTTTAATTAGAAATATTGTTATAAATTTTGAAACTATTTGTATTTTGAGTATTATCCTACGGAGTGAAAGCTTGAACACAAGAGCACTATTATATTATAAACAGATTAAGCTTCTGGATAATGGACTTATTAAAGAATGCTTAGAATTAACTGGATAGATTGAGTCTTAAATGAAGATGTATTAAAAAGTATGGTAAAATAAAAGGAAAATTTGAGCACCAATAAAATTCCGAAAATAAAATATTTAAGATTACTGTCAGCGGCGAAAACTATAAGTTTCTTTAAACAATAAAGCAATGAGAACTAGAGAGACAAAGAAGTCAAGCCAGTTCAAGTGTACTTTCTGGTTAAACAATTTGAAGCCCTAGTTTGGATTTAATTCCGTATAGAGCAGCTGCATCAAAAATTAGAATAGCTACTAGCTAGATTTACAATTTTTTATATAGCGATAGTTTTCAAAAATAAACTGCATTCCAATTATTACCGCATTCCATAATTTTATACGTGACCTACTACAAACATTGTTGGTTAGTTTTGCATAATATTTACCTAGCTATTGATTTGTAAAATATACATAAAAATAACAGTAGGTACATAATTCAGTAGTAACATAACAAAATATTATAAAAGTAATTTGATAATCAGGCAGTCACAAATTGATATCATTTAGTATGACAGGTTTGTAAATAATATTATAAAGCTTAGATTTTCGATTTGTTTTGACCATCTTTGAGAATACAGATTTTCTATTCATGTTATACTATTAATTAAGTAATAGACAACATATTTTCTTACATTTTTTTTATAATATGTCCTGAAATGTGTAAATTACGAATCAATTTAATAAAATGAAAATAAATTCTGAAGCGTAGATATATTACGATACAATTTTAAATTAGGGCAACACCCTTTAGGGAAATCAAAAAGTGCAATTACCTGCCATCCCTGCAAAAGCAAACTCCTGTCAACCGTCCTGAGCCACATGACCGCATCTCCCGCCTGAAAATCTCGTAATTTGTAGCATTTAGCGTGCAAAAACATTCCTAAACACTTCAATAATTCAGACGTGGAAGCTTGTATGACAGTCTTTTTGGGTGCAGCTACAGGAACGACCTGATTCTGCGAGTTGATAGAGCTTTGGCTCAAAATGACCTGCTTGTTAACAACTTTATCGCAGTGCAAATGATTGTTAGTGTTATTGTTAGCATTATTCACTCTTACAATGTCCAAAGCAAGCGCGGAACTACTTTTCGAATTCGAGTAATATGAGCTATGCTTGTTTTGATGGATATTTTTGTTTTTGTCGATCACCGGATGAATATTGTCGACCAGGGGTTGCCGAAAAACGGTTATGTTTTTGTTTTTGTTGTTGTCCAACTTCTTTTTATTGTTGTTCGTCGTGGAGAACCGTTTCCAGGACAGGGCGTTGATGAAAAGAGAGTGCTTCCTGAGGTTCTTTTCCAGAGCGTTTTTCTCAGATATAATCCTAGCGTTTTCATTATTGTTTATATTATTACACAAATTATGATTATTAGAGTTTGTTACACTGCAGTTGCTTTTTGAGTCACGGTTCTTAACGTTGTTTAGTTGTTCGTAAGAAAAGTTATTAAGGGTAAAATCGCCCGTAGAGCTTGTTGTGTACACAGGCCTTCGCTCTCGCGGGGAAAAACTAAGCACCGTGCCCATTTTGCACTAACTAAAACACTAACTATAATAAACTAACACATTTTTTGACTGGACCTTAATGTCAACGATTTTCTCGTCTGCAATGCTAGCCCAGGGGTCGATCTCGTGAAGGCGTCGCAGCGCCGGCGCTAAGTTTCCTAGCAACCCTCATGATGTCATAAGAAATCAATATAACCACCCTCTGATACGAAGCGAATGTTTTTACGCGATCTACTCGCTGCAAAGGTATTTATTTACAGTCGCATAATTCGTGTGAATGTACGAGATTCTACGGGGTTGGCGTTACTATGAAAAATCGCCTCTTCTTCTGCTTTAAGAGCGTTGGGCTTACAGATTGATAGCGATCATCATCGGTATTCGCGCTATATTAGATGCAGCTCGCAAGATAAACGTTCGCAAATATAGCGTGTCTGCTCATATTTATCTCTTCCGAAATGACCGACATATTTTAAAATAAATTTTCTTACTACTTATATGAGTAGTTAAGATGCAAAACTCGCTCATTACACTTAACGAGTTTCTCAGGAAATGTAAAAAACTTATTATGTCTAACTTATTAACCCAGATATGCCTAAAACCTACAAAAAAATATTTTTCTCCAAATTTACGTTTTATATCAATTAAAAAAACATATTTATCGTAAAAACAAAATATTTTTGAAAAATAAGTAAAAAATCATGAAAAATCATGAATTCATGTCAATCATGAACAATTGATAGATATTCTGCGAAAGAGAGATATTGAAGACAAGAACATTCGAATTGTGGCAAACCTATACTGGGGTCAAACAGCAAGAGCAAAAACTGGCAACGAACTCACTAGAAGTGTGCAGATCAAAACAGGTGTCTGTCAGTGGTGTATATTATCCGCATTCCTATTCAATATTTATTCCGAGGAAATATTTAACAAATGTATGGAAAATGCAAATGAGGGCATAAAAATAAACGGCAACTTAACGAACAATACAAGATATGCCGACGACATGGTGATCCATGCCAGTACCATAGACGAATTACAACAGGTAATGGAAAGAGTATATTCAGTAAGTGCCCTCACTTACTGAGCCTCAACTCCAAGAAGACAAAGTGGATGCTGATAAGCAAAAAGCAACAACCTGCTCGACAATTACGGATAAGTAACATACTAATTGACCATGTAGAATCTTATGTGTACCTTGGCACCAACGTAAATGCAAAATGGAAAGAAGTCACAGAAGTTAAGGCGAGAGTAGAACGAGCTAGAGCAGCGTTTATCAATATGAAAAAGCTCCTCATAAGCAAGGATTTGTCTCTTCCCCTAAAACTACGTCTAGTTAAATGCTACGTTTTTCCGATCTTACTATATGATGTGGAGGCCTGGATGCTGACAGAGACGCTCACGAGAAAACTAGAAGCATTCGAAATGTGGGTGTACCGACGCATTCTTCGTATATCCTGGACCGAACATGTCACCAACATAGAGATAATCCAAAGAATCGAAAAGGAGAAAGAAATCGTGAGCACAATTAAACAAAGAAAGCTTGAATATCTAGGCCACATATTGAGACACGATAAGTACCGTCTACTGCAATTGATTGCCCATGGTAAAATAGACAGTAAGCGAGGGCCAGGCAGGAGAAGACACTCGTGGTTCCAAAATCTGCCAAACTGGTTCGGGCTCACATCGATCGAGCTATTCAGAAGCGCTGCAAACAAGATCAGAATTGCCATGTTAATAGCCAACGTTCGCAATGGACAGGGCACTTGAAGAAGAAGAAGAAAAAGTAAAAAAAATACTGTACAAGATATGGTATATCAGGCATATAAACAACTATTAAGTTTTCGTGTGGTATGAAACAAAATATTTAACATGTAAGTCTACGTTGCATTTTGAACACGTCATTTTTGTTTTATCGTGTCAGAAACCACATCGAGTTGGTTTTTCCTGTGGAATTACTAAATGGTCTAATCGATCATAGCGAATATCAATCGGTTTTCATTGGCTGATGGACGACCTCGAGAATAGGAAGTAGGTTTTTTATTTTGTTGTAACAATAATTTGGCAATGCGTCTTCTAAATGATAACTGGTCCAGTTTTCTTCCATGCAAACGATGAAGTTGCCAGGCATTCTGAACAGCCATGCCAATTCATTGATTGATTAGTAGTGGCCAAAAAGCTTTTTTCTGTTAGTTTTTCCATAAGGGGAATAGAGTAAAGAGTAAGTATAGATAGGTAAAAACATTATCAAAAACCAAGTGGAACTTTTCATTTTTAACCATTTTTTCCTTAGCACATCAGAATATTCAAATACGACGCTTGCTCTGACTCCTTAATTGGTATAAATTTTACAAATATTAGTTGATGATCCTTGGTATGGTTCAAACCAGTAAATATAGTCAAGACGTGATGTACCAACCCATAATTTGTAACGGTATCTGGTGGGTTTACCATGTATAAATTGTTTGCATTAATGCCTTCCAAATTACGGAACCATTGCTTCATATACAGAATGCGTTGCCGTTAAAGGTCTGTACTTCATGAAGTTCTTATTTAAATTTACAAAAAAAACCTGACTTTTGCAAATTTATCTCCTCGTTCTAAGGTTCTAAGGTAAGAATGATATTATCTCTCCTGATACCGATAAAGAATGTAGAGCTTAGTAATATTTTAACTAATTTTAAACTGTTTGTTCTTGTTTTTAGTGTAGTGATTGTACAATTTTATGTTATCATTAACATTCATGACATTCTACGCTTGCCGGATAGCCCATATTTGACGAAATGCCCCTGAAGATGATATAAAAAGCGAAAGTACTTGGGCAAGATTTAATTAAACTTGTGCTCGATATGATTGCCTTAATTTTCAAAGTTCATTTATTCGAGCATTCAACCTTATATAAATTTTTAATTTTTTGTTGTTGTGATCTACTGAATCTCTTAATAGATTCTGTTTTTAACTTTATATACCTGTCTGTAGCTGGTGGTGATACAATAATGTCTCGCACGTCGGATATGTATGCCGTTTCTAGATCAGCAACTATATAATTGAATTTTGTTGCGTCACTAGTAATGTTTGCTAGTGAAAATTGGTTTTCTACTTGCAGGAACCATATTTCGGGATCGCTGGCCCAGAACGGTGGAATTTTCACTGGTATGCGATCTTCTCCTGTAGCACTATTATTGGCACTATCTGGCATTTTTAGTGATTTAGATTCACTATTTTAACTGGCAAAAGTATATTATCAACATTATTCTTTTTAAACGTTCACGGTTTCACATTAGAAAAAATCGACGAAAGAAATATAAGAATCTAAAGCAAAATAGATAAAATGCAAGTAGACCTGAATAAATTAAATAAAGAAAACGAACAGTTGAAGGCAGATAACAAAGCATTGAGAACTAAACTCACAGAACAAGAAGTTAGAATTAAAATACTGAAAAGACAAGCTAGAAGAAAAAACCTAATAATACAGGGGGTCGAAGAAAACCAAACAGAAAGCGAACAAGAGACGATAAATAAGATAAAGGGGATAATGAAAATAATCGGCGTACAAACAAACCTATATGAAGAACTGGTAGAGATGAGAAGAATAGGCAGACAAGGTGATCCCCAAAATGTACCCAGACCCATCATATTAGAAATGAAAAAGGAAGCTACGAGAATGGAAATTCTGAAGGCTGCTAAAAACCTAAGAGGAACTAAAATATATATCAATGAGGACTTACCGAAAAAAATACTACAAAAATGGAAGCATCTTCTCCAGCACATGAAAATGGTACGCCAGGAAGGACACACAGCCGCATTAAAATACAACAAATTATGGATAAATGGTGAACCGTTTTCACTGGAGCAACTAGAAGGCATAGATGCAAATTACTGGAAGAAACCTGAAGAAAAGAAGGGTAACCCTAGGACAATAAACGACAGATCTCCCATATCTCATAAGATAGATCCAAGAAAAAAATTGATGAAAATGGCGTCAAAAAACTAACAAAAAATATAACAAAAGACGGCGACAGTATAACGGAGTTGGCAATGAATACGGACATAAAACTGTTTTGTAAAAAAAGACGCAAAAACAAAAAAAAAATAAAGCAAAAAACAAAAATAGAAAAATAAGAATAGGAACGTGGAATATCAAAACACTTCTAAGACCAGGCAAAATGAAAGAGTTGGCAAAAGAAAAGATAGTATATTAACAACAGCAGAGGAGACGATAGGACTAATGGAAGACAATAAAAGAAAGGATTGGTGCGATGAAGAATGCGAGCAAGCTAGTAAACACAAGGACAAAGCAAGACACAGGTGGGTGGCCACAGGAAAACAAGAATATCTCCTACACTATAAAGAGAAGAAGAAAGAGTTAGACAAATGCTGCAAAACAAAAAAGAAGAAATGGATCGAAGAATTACTGCAGGAACTCGAAGCCAATAGTAATGACAATGAAAGACTATACAAATACATAAAATCACAGAGAAAAAAAGAGATACCAGCAAATATTGGAAAAATGAAATGGGAAACACACCATAGAGAACTGTTTAAAAAGAAAGACGATGCTAAAAATGCAGAAAATAAAGAACAAACAGAAAATAGGACTGGAGAACAATCAGAAAATAGGAATGGAGAACAATCAGAGCCTCCCTCATACAGCGAAGTATTACCATAAACAGATTAAAGACAAGGAAAGCAGCAGGACCAGACGACATTATAAATGAGTTTTTTCAAGAAAAGGGAAGAGGAACTAGCCCACAGAATCTACAACCTAATATAACGAATATGGGAAGGAGAACGCATGCTGAACGACTGGAATTGTGGTCTGATAACACCAATCTCTAAAAAAGGCGACAAGACGAAATGCACTAACTTCATGGGAATCACTTTATTAAATACAATGTACAAAATATTAACTAATTTGATCAGTCAAAGAATAGAAAAAGAAACTAGAACAAAAATAGGTGAATTCAACATGGATTCAGAGAACGTAAGTCAACAATAGATACAATACACATTGTAACGCAAAT